TTCCCTAGAAGAAGCCATGACATAGAAAGGCTAAGTGGCTTTCCCAAAGTCACGCAGCGAGTGGAGAGCTGAGACACGTACCCAGAAGCCGGCTCTGAAGTCCTCACCACTGGTGCTCGGCTGTTCAGAGCAGGCGATCGTCACTAAAGGCAAAGCAAGGTGGGAGGTTACTGGGCTTCGACACCCGGCAACCCACTCGTGACCAGGAAAGATCCACGACAACCACCTGTCACGGTCGGCGTCCCCACCTCCCTCACTGGCTGCCCTTGCCAGGAGGCGGACGCTCTCTGCTCTGGATGTCACCTCCAAGAGACAAGGCAGACGTCGAGTTAAATTATATTGAATTCCGAAGGAGCCCGTCGGGGCCCCTGAGCAGCCGTGGTGGCTTAACTAAGTTCTGAAGGTCAGAAGAACATGCAGTAGCATCCACACTTCAGCCAGGGGTCCATTACAACATTTTATTCTATCCTAAAGACCATGGAAAGCTAGCGATAAATTTTTTGAAAAGGAAATAACATGAGGACATTCACACATTTAAGAAAAATCAGTCTGGCTGCAGCATGGAGAATGGGCTGGAAGTGACCTTGGAGATGAGATCAGTTCGGAGTTGGAGCGCCCACCCGGAGGATGGCAGCGGTCAGGACGGGGATTATAGCCATGGGAATCGGACGACTAGAAGAGTTCAATTTAAGAGACGGAATCAACAGGACCTGGTGATTGATCGAAGCGGAGCAGTGAGGACAGCCAGCTCACAGGTCCACGAAAAGGAACCGACAGGCAAGAAGCTCTATTCCATCGCACGCAGCGTTCCCAAGTGACCACCGACCAGTTTCTGAAAAGGTGTGGAGTCCGTGTTTTTACAGAGTGATTTCTGACGGAGATCTCTGAATCACCCTGGCTGCAAAGAACCAAGGTAGGCTTAGAGACAGAAAATGTCATAATTAAGCAGCCGCTTGTCTTGACAGCCTTAAAACTAATCTCTCACCAGTGCCTAACTTTGTTCTCGGTTACAAAGGCTATTGTCTGAGTGAACAAAGAGGATAAGGAATCTGGGGAAAAAAAATGTTTATCCAGGGAAACTAATAAGAGCCCAGGCTGGGAGAGACTTGCGTGTGAACGAGGAAAGGGGCGGGCAACCCTGAGCACGTTCCGTCGGCCCCAAATAACGCAGAGGCTCAGAATAATTCACGGGCAGGATGTGGTTTACGGCAGCTGCTCTCAGCATATCCAGAATATTCTGAGAATGACCTAGCTTCTCCATAAAAGATATTTCCCATCTAATGAATCAGAAATTCAACTGCGAGGACAGTAGTGGTTATTGAGGACCGCGGGGTCTCTGACTTCTTCCATCGACACCTTGTCCCAATGCACCTTGCTCCCAGCTGCCTCCCGTGCTGCCCGGTGTAACAGCGGGTCCCAGCAAGCTTCTCCTCGTGCAGACTGAGGTCACTCTGCTTTACGAAAAGTCCTTAGAAAAGGGAAAACTCAGCAACAGAATCTGGCATACAAAAGCCTACGGATTTTCTTCAGGATTGTTCCATTCCTGGTTCCTCTCATCGGCACCCCGCTACACTCAGGCTGACCGTCGTCCACGGATGATTTTCCTGTGGGAATCCCCCGCCTGCTCAGAAAGCTTTGGTTTCCATTAACTAGCTCGCTGTTTTAGGATGTGAGTGGTCTTCTCTATTTGACCTGACCCCCAACTATGGGCACTAGATAGGCCTATGGATAGGGTCCGGGCGATTCAGCCGGAGGGTCCCCAGCAGCCAAGGGTGCCAGCCAGCCAGGCACAGGGCCAAAGGGGGAGGCTAGGAAAGGTGGGATGCTTAGCTCTCTAAAGGCGAATTTTAAAGGCTGGGAGACAGAGCCCGCCCCACAAAGAGAAAACAGCCTTGGTCCTCAGGAGTCAAGGTTGGCCAGGAAGAGCTAAAAAAGGAGCAGATATGCTCACAGGGAGCCCCCCTTAAAGAATGAAATTTCACCCAGTGGGTTCGCCCCCACTGAATGTTACCTGATCTAAGGCAGATGCCACTCACGATGAAATTGTTTTGAAGTAAATCTCTCCTTCTCCATAAAAATGGCACCTTATGGCTCACCTTGCTAATTTTTCACCCAATTAGAGTCTGCCTGACAGAGAAAGTTGACATCGTTCAATGACACGAAGGCCTCTGAGCTCCCTCGGCTTGCGAGGAAGGCTGCTGACGGCCGCTCCGTGGATTCGTCCACGCTACATGTCTGCAACACAAACGTGGGAGAGAATGTGCTTTGTCTTCCAGTTGTCTAGACTCACAGAGACCAATTCTGTGTCAGCAAAAAACGAAAACGAAAAACCGCTACGCCCCGGGGTGGTTATTACCTCGACTTAAAGTGTGGAGTTCCGCGATGCCTTGCTGATGGACTTACCAAATTCACGAGGGAAAGGAACCCGCAAAGGGCCAAAGACCCACCAGCGACAACTTCCTGTCTCTCAGCGCTGAGTGGCGACAGAGGGATAAATCACTCATCCTCTGCAGGCACATCAGTTCCCTTCCGCCCTGCGTCGTCACTGGCGGGGGAGAGGGGACATTCCTACCATCCTCCTCCCTCGTCTGGAATTTCTGATGCCATTTTGGATCAGACTCAACTTCTTCCCGAATCTGGAAAATAGGACCAAAACTATTTTTAAACTCAGTTTTTGGAGACCAGGGTCCCTTGACCATGGGACCTCACAGAAAGAATTCGATATCTGCGGTCGTTAAGTCTGCACCGAGGTCCCAGGCTGGCTCTTGCTGGCTGGCTAGCTTCTGGCAAATCCTTGGCATTGCAGTTTTCAGAGCTGTAGAAAAGAAAGGTCGTGAAGGTAGTGCACACCTCACAGGTATGGGGGATCCCGGGGTCACGTCGAGTGAAAAGCAATGGGCGAAGAGCTCCCCAGGTGTGGGCCAATGCCTCAGCTCGCCTCCTGGAGCTCACTCAAGGCTCGGAAACCTAGCCAGCATGAACGATGGATTACGAGTGAGGATATTCCTGCCTCAAACTCACGTCCACCACAACGATCAGTGTTCCCATCGGCAAAATGGGCGAACTCTTTTCCCTCACGTGTGTCTACTCACTCAGACCCAATACTAGTGAATGGGACGATATATTGAGAATCAGGTGGCTTAGCATCCCCGCCACAGTGATTCCTCAACGTGTTGCATGTCACAATCACCTGGGGACCCTCCCGATGTCCAGTTGTACCCGATACCAATGAAAGCACCATGGTGGGAGTGGAGTCCAGGCATCAGCATTTTGCAAAGACCCTGAGGTGATCCCACCCTCCAACAAAGTTTAGGGACCTCTGTTCAACTCCCTCTACAGGCACCTGAGGGCACCTTTCCACTTCTTGGTTCTAGAGTATGTCCAACTTTGAAATGGGAATCGAAACCCACGATGCCGAATCTTGAGCCTCTTTACCTCCGCCCAGTGATACTGGCAACCACCCAGCCCACGTGTTACATCCGGCTGGGAAGCGTGACCCGTGAGTAAGCAGAGGGCACCAGGGGGAGGGAGGGGAGCCTAGGATCGGGGGGAGCACAGAGCACCGCTCTGCAAACTGGGTGATCATCAGCGGGACATAAAGAGAGGTTTCAAGACCCAGTCATATTGGTTGTTCTGGGTTCACCAAAGCTAAGCAGGTGTCTTCATTGCAGGACTTCTCAGATGCCTGAAGTTGGAGAATGATTATGAATCTGCCAGAGCGGGCTGGAGCAGCATTCGCCCCGATGGAAGTCTTCACTTCCTCAGAGCATTTCAAGGACTCGTGTTCCGGGGAACGCACTGTCAGAAACCAGAGCGATGTCGGGGGGAGGGGCAGGGGTTTGTCCACTGGGGGAGCATTCGGGAATGTCTGGAGACGTATTCGGTTGTCACAGCTGGGTAGCTGTTACCACCACGGAGTGGGCGAAGAAAAGAGACGCTGATTAGCATCGTACAGCACGCGGGAGGGCCCCCGGGCAGAGAGCCATCCGGCCCAAATGTCAACAGCAGCGCCGTTAAAAAGCCCTGGTCTCGCGTGACCTCCGCTCCCTGGCCACTTCCTGTGTCACAGCCTTGAAAATGGAAGATGGAGAGAAAGCACGAAAGATGGGAGAGAAAAGAGAAGAGATGGAGAAAAGGGAGGAAAAAAAGAAGAAAATGAAAGAGATAAACAATCTGACAAAGAAACAGACTGGGGAAAAGAGAGAGAGAGAAAAGAAGCCAGATTCCTAACTGCCGGAACCGGGAAGCAACGGCGATGTCAGCAGGTGAGTGGATAAATGCACTGCGGTCTGTCTGGGCCGTAGAATAGCAGTCAGCACTAAAGAGGAGTGAGCTCTCTCGCCATGGAGAGCCACGAGGAACCCTAACTGCATATGGCGGAGTGAAAGAAGCGGATCGGAAAAGGCTGCGTACACCGTGTGCGACTCTGACTCTGTGACATCTGGAAAAGGCAGCGTCCTGGAGCGGGTCAAAAGATCAGTGGTTGCCAGGGGCTTGGAGGGAGGGAGGGAGGGCTGACTAGGTGCAGCACAGAGGGTTTTCAGCGCAGTGACAGTCGTCTTTACGATACTATAAGTGGACACGTGTCATTACACATTTGTCCAAACCCACAGAACGTACAAGACCAGGAGCTGAAGCCTAAGGTGGACTGCGGAGTCTGGGTGATGACGGCGAGCCACGTAGGTCCACCGTCTGTGACAAACGCACCCTCTGGTGGGCGCAGGAGGTGCGTGGGGGAATCTCTGTACCTTCTGCGCGATTTCGCAGTGAACCTAAAACCGCTCTCGAAACTCGGAGAGAAAGAAAAAGGCGAACAGCACGCCGCCGTCACTGGCCCCAGGCTCCCCGCGCCTTTATTACCCCTCCGAGGGTGGGAAGGCCCCCAGGTCCGCTGCTGGTCGGACCGCGCCGGTGGGTGAAGGGCGGCGGCCAAAGCGGGTGATCTCCTCCGGCAGAGTGTTCGGTGCGCCGAGCCGGGGGCCTCGGGCGCGCTGGGGGCCTCAGACCCTGCTGGGCTTCTTGAGGTCCTTGTTCTTGGCGGGCATGAAGGCGTAGAGCTCCTCGATGAGCATCTCCATGCGGGCGGTGACCTCGGTCACCGTGTCGATGACCAGCTTCTGCTGCAGCCGGAGCTTGTTGTTCTCCCAGAGCGCCTTGTCCTCCTGGCACAGCCGGTGCTCCTGGCGCAGCGCGTGCAGGGCGCGGTTCTCCTCCTGCAGCAGCCGGTTCTCGTCCCGCAGCGCCTGCAGCGCCTGGTTCATCTCCCGCAGCATCCAGCGCCT